GAGTTTTGCGGGGGCGCCGGCAGAATTTATAGCTGCGAGAGGGGAGAGAGATGAGGAGAAGGGCGAGGAGTGAGGTAGAGGAGGGTAGAAGGGAACTTGAGAGTGATCGCCCGTCGAAAGCCATGTTGATCCCCCTAACTCGACCTCAGCCAATAAGAATCGTCGTGTAGTAAGAACTTACATGACGCTGCTCCTTAGCTAGACGGGGAGAGAGGATCGATTGGGTTTCCAGCGCGGATCTTAGAGCGGGAAGAAGAGAAGCGCGAAGGATAGCACGAAACCGGTCCAAGATTCAGATGATCAAGAAGGAAAAAGGGCGTGCGGTGAGAAGGGGAGGGAAAAGCAGTTACGGGGGGAGGGAGCGAGAAAGCATGTGCGCGCGAAGAGAGGCGTGGGAGGAGCGCGGGGGAGGAAGGAGGAGGGAGCTTGTTTGCATGGTGCCGATCGGCAAAAGGGAAATGGGCACCAAGACAGTTGCAGTTTTTCTCAATCCTACGCTAATTCAAAAATTGATAATACCATATCCGCGCGCAAAACAGGCACGGGAAAAAAGAAAGTCTTTCGTCCATCCATATTCCTACAAGAATTCCCAGATCCTTCAAAGTCGAGGCCGAGAGCAAGCGTGCGGAAGGACGCGCGACATTCCATTAATTCCGGGAGTCCTAACTGCCGAGCCAAATTCCATGCGCGCTCACTGAGGCGCGCGAAATTCCCATGCATTTTCGAGAAAAGAAATCATCACAAAGAATTGACAGATTCTAACGACGTGCCTTTAATTGGGCCCAAAAAAAAGGAGGGGGGGGCGGGGGGGGGGGGGGGGGTTCTCGGGGTTCGGATGCAAGGAACACAAGGAAACAGAAGGGGTCCGGAAGCTGGCGCAGGTCCGGAAGCTAGTACATCACATGCTAGGAGGATGTCCTTCCAGACACCCGATTTGAAAGGCCCCTTAAGCATGGACGGGGTGAGGAGACCCACCATGACGTCTTTTCTCCGCGACAGGTTCCATTCTCTCATGAGAGTACCTACTGCTAGATCTACCCATGGGTGGGCAGACTCCTCCAGTAGTAATTTAATTACCCACCTCGATAGGAGAGCGTTTACCTGGCATTCGGGTCTTTAATACCCAGCACATGTGACGCCCAACCTCACGCCCAACGTGACTTCCTAATCGGAGTGGGATGTGGGCCTGGAAGTGCGAAAAGGGGTGTGCCAAGGATTTTTGGGAAAGTGGGGGTGGAGTCCCAGGTCAGAACTGAAATTTCCTATGGAAGAGTTTTTCGGGGGCAACGGGTGCAATTTGGTTGAGAGGGCGGACCGTTTCCGGTCATAAGGCGGATGCCATGCGCGGGTCATTCAAGGTCGTTCGATCCGTCTGTTTTGATGACGGCGGTTCGTCGAAAGGTCCATCCGGGGTGGGTGTGGTTCTGATGAGTCAGGCCGTTGGATGTTGCCACATGGCGTAGGTCGTTGTACGTTCGGGTTAGGCCCTCGCGTTCCCGGGGTTGTCTGGTTGCCGCGTCGCCGACAATTTCCGTAGGGCGTGGGGGCCAGTACGGAGCTATGGCATTCCACGGGACGACCCTGAGTTGATGATACGGGAGAAGAAGACGGAAGGGAGGGAAGTTAGTGAAGATAACGACAAAACCGGGGGAAATAAAGTAGTGGGTGTGGTCTGAAGTGGGAAAATCAGAGCACCGTGGATCGCTGGTTGTGGCACAGTGGAACTCGCTAAGACACAGTCGATTCTCGGTTAGGCAGGGAAACCTCTGTCGGAGACACTCTTCTATCCAAGGGGTGAAGTATTCCGGGTCCCACGACGAATCTGAGTCCCTTGAGTTCGTCATCTTGTCATTGCGAGGCCGCGAAATTCCTTAGTGCGGGGCTACCTGGCTGGGGAATTTCCCAGCTCAGTGTTCAGAATTTCCGTGCCCGTCCTGTTATTCGATGATTGCGATCACCACGTGTGAGTACGCGTAGACTGCGTGAACGGTAGCTCGCTTACAAGTGTTCACACGGGATGATCGCTTTGTTACAAACGCCGAACGCACCCAATCAATCAACATCCCCGCTATCGTTAGTCCTTTCAGGTGGTTGCCAATCGACGCGCGTGGACACGTGTAAGTGCGCCGATCAGATCGCACTTACGTGCGCCCCCGCGAGGCGTTCCCTGGTTTATGGGAAAGCAGCTACCCGATCATCTAATCATCCCATGATTCGTATGCAATCCTTTCTGAATATGCAAGGTGCCATTACGCATTCGCAGTAACAACAGCAGATCCAAAAGGACAAGATGACGCGAACTTTCCTACTATGTTCACGAGGGGATCAAAACGACAAGCAAAGGCAAAGATCAGGCATAAGGAAAAGCAAACAGTCATAACATCCATTCATTCGTTCACACACAACATCCGAGATTGAAATCACAAAAACGAGTCTTGCAGAGAAAATCTCACCAAGATTCTAAAAACAAAAAAAAACGGGTGAATCGCCCTGAGCCGAGATCAAAATGTATGTACAAAGGCAAAGAGGGAGACAAAGAAATCTGTAAATCCACGTCCATCAACCTCATCTCCCTCTTCCTCTCTCTCTCTCTCTCTCTCTCTCTCTCTCTCTCTCTCTCTCTCTCTCTCTCTCTCTCTCTTTCTCCGATGCGGACAGTCGGTCGTCGTGCACCAACCCACGAAGTAGTCACCCCGCTTAGTCCTCCCGCACCCGTCAGGTTCGCCGGCGCCCACAGTCCGTCGTGGCCCGCGTCAACCCCGCGCGTTTGGCACCAGCCCGTCGGGTCGCCCGACTTGCACTTCAACTCACCTCTTACTTCGCTCGTGAGCCGACCCTCACTGATCGCGCTACCCCGAGCTTCCAACAGCTGGTTAAGAGAGCTAACTAACCGCGCAGCCAGAATCTATACCGTGCATGCATGCGCGAAGCACACGGAATTACAAGGACTTGGGAGGAGAGAAGAGGGAGGGATTGCCTACGTCTGCATGGCCAGATCGCGGCGTGGGGGACATCGCCACTCTCCACGCATCGATCCGATCATGCAGACCGCGGCTACCAAGACGCAGCAAAAAGAAAGAGAAGAAGGGCAGGAAGGGCGAAGTTCAAGAAGAAAGATACAGTTACAATGGCGCCCGCCAAAATTATAGTTACACACAAGATTAAGGGCGCCGCTAATCAGAACTCCGGCTCAGCCGCAAAAAGAAGCGCGGAAGCGAAAAACAGCGCACACAAAAAGAAATTCCAATTTCCTAAATTCCTAAGTTCCTATTTAATGCAAAAAGAGATAAAACACAAATTCCGAAAAGAAAATTTGAAGTCCCGAGAGCCGTAGAAGCTCGACAAAATCCAAAAGGAAATTCGAAAATAAAATTCAAAAGAAAATTCGAAAAGCACGAAGCAAAATTCCCGCGCAATGTCCGCGCCCAAGAATCCGAAAGCCGAAACAAAAGAAGCGACGCCAACATTTATTAATCACGCGCATGACAACGCGCCAGCCATTCAGCCGACCAATCAACTGGTCGTCCCGGGACACGCCCAACTCCGAACCCAGCCATCCGAAGAGAAACGACGCAAAAAGACGAAGAAGCAAGGACAACGATGCAATTTCCCACCGATCCCGATTTCCCGTAATTGACCCAACCTTCCCAGCTTAGGACCCCGCATTGCAATCACGCAGAAAATCGCGCACCGCAGAAAGTGGTTCGTCACATATGTGACGCCCAGGGGGTTCCAATATTAGCAAGCATCTGCTTGCTTGTTGACACGTGTCGATCTCTCTAATCGATCGACACATGGAGCAGTTCCCTTTGTGCCACTTACCGTGTGAATGAGTGTGGAAGTCATCCAGTGTGGCAAACACAGCTCTAACTACTAATTCCTCGGGAAGGACCATTGGCAATCTAAGGAGGGGATCACACATGTCGTCACTGTGACACGTGTCAATCAAACATGCATCAGCGAGAAAAGGAGGGTAGGCATTCTAAATCAGACGTTCCCGGGGAAGGGCAACCGGATTATCGATGGTGGTGATGGCGGGTGGTTCAGGGGGAGAGGGGGCATGAACTAATTGATGGCGGGGCAGGCGAAGGCGGGAAGGGTAGCGTAGTGGAAGGAGTGATGGATGCAGGGAAAGCAAGGGTCTTCATGAGGATGGCGGAAAGCGACAGTGTGGTCGGGGTAGATGGTAGAAACGGTTCGACGCAAGGCGGTGCGAAAATCCTCGTAGTCTTCGCTGGCGGGGATAGTTCCAGATATAACACAGTATATTTCTACGTGGTTATATTCCCGCCAGTCTGCGCTAAACATTAGCACATGAAGGAGGAAGGAATCGACTACAGAGCGGGTGGTGGCATGCGGAAAGACCGAGACTGGAAGGCCGACAGCGTAGAGATGGTAGAAAAGGTTGTGGGGGAAAGGACACCATCCATCGGGGAACGGAGGTCTACGAGGGAGGCGGGTAAGCAAGAGGTTGTCACGGGGTCGGTGAGAGAACGACCGGGGATGAAGCCCGAACACCGAGATCTTGACGTAGACGAACGGAAGGCCAGGGTGTGGAGCCGGATGAAGCCGGCGATTCGCTTCTTCTTCTTCTTCGCCGTTGCGATCCCTCTTTGGCGGTTCCATCGTTTTCTTCCTCTGGCGGCTCTGGATCACGCCACGGATCTCCTATCGATGGATCGATAGGAGTTCCCTCCTTCACGGGTCGCTTTCCCTCTGCGTTTTCCTGTCGCTTTCGCTCCTTCTACTCTTCCTTCTCTTCGTTCTCTTCGCGCTGCTGGCTCGATCCTCCTGCTATCCTCGCTTCTCTCTCCGGGACGTTGTCGGGATCGTCCCGCCCCTCACTCGATAGCTCCTCTTCTTCTTCTTCTTCTTCCTCCGCTTCTCCTATCTCCTCGTTTGTGCCGCGCTTCTCCGCGTGATCGGGTCCCAAAACGTGAGATCAGTGACGTCGATTTCCAAGTAAAGCGCCTGGGAGGGATAGAGACAGTTGTCCCCGTCGATCTCCGTACACGTGGACCACACCAAGACTTAGTGCGGCTCGAGCGTCCGAGACAGCACATGGGTGCCGGGCTGCTCGTCGCGCCGCGACAGGATGTCCGGGTGCAGATCATCCACCAGCTGGGTCAGGAACACCAACAGCTCGCTCGTAATCAAGGCGAGATTTCCCTCCTCCAGCTTTCCAAATACGATTACCAGCAAATCGCCTTCCTCTGCCGTCTTCCAGGCCTGGATGATTAGGAGCTCCACGCTGTCCTCGGGGTGCTCTGGTCCTTCTCCGAATGGTGCCGATTCTGACCAGCGGAACTCTATCCCCAACAAGCAGAAAACGAGCTCAATGTAGTCCTCCCACCACGCGTCCCACTTCTCTTCGTCCAATAGAGGCGCGCTGGTCTCCTTAATACGATAGGAGAGAGTAGGGGCCCGCGCAGACTGCCAAAGAGTGGGGATACTGGAGGGAAGCCGAAGTAGGAGAGGCGGCGACGACTCATTCGGGCGGCGCGAAAGGACGAAGCTCCGGAAGTACGATCGTCGGCGACCTTCGGGATGAGCGGAGCTGAAAGTCGGTGTCGTGCGCTGGCAAGACGGTATCTCCCCGATGAGCAAGGAGTGCCATCCACGCAGTGCGCACTTCCTCGGCCCAGCTGCGCAGAGCCCGATAGATGTTGGGATGAATCGCCGAGGGAATCGCTCTGATGTCCCCCTTGAAGACGATGACGACGTGACGTGGCTGGTCCCGGGAGGGGACAGTCGTCGAAAGGCCGAGATCTCGGCCAGAACGCGAGTAGTTGCTGACTCCGTGAATCGGATCTCCGCCTCCGCGTGGATTGCCGCCGTGCTGAAGAAGGCTGCGAACCGCAGGAGATCAGCGCAGAGATGGGGCCGTTGCACTTGCCAGATGACACTGATTTGCCCCCTCGGAGTAAGTAGCCACTTACGATCACTTGCTCCGTTGCAAAGCTCATGGCGATGGTGGCGGGGACGGGGTACCTGAGAGAGAACGAGATGAAGAAGGATAGACAGGCGATAAGTAGTCGTCGTCCTCTTCTGCAGCGGAGGAGGAGATGGATGAAGGTGGAGATGGGGAAGAAGGAAGGGGACGTAGCTAGGACACGTGGCAGGTGATCGGTCGAGCCGATCGGCTGCCAGAGACCTCAGGCGCAAGCCGCACGGTGTTCACGCCGTTCGGTCCGAGCTCAATCATGAGGAATCTCCCGAAGAATCGTGGCGCTAGCTTGCCCTGACGAGCACATTTCCTCACCTGCACGATGTCCCCCAATTTGTACTGGGGCCGTGGACCTGCGTTCCTGTTCCGGGCCTCGTAGCTTCGGACTTGTCGACCGTGGGCCAACTCGGTCATTTTCTGGCGCTTTCGGGCTAGCCTGGGGAGGGACCGTTCCATTACCTCTAAGTGTCGCTTGGCCTTGTCCCGAACCGTGGCCCTTGTGGGCCGTCGGTTCAGCGTTGACTCGTCAGGGAGGCTAAGTATCGAAATGCAAGCGACGCTATTAGTCCTTAATTGGAAGGGGCTCAGGCCCATCGATTCGTGGGGCGTTCCGCGGTGGACCGCCAGGATGTGGTCGACGCTATCGGGCCAGGGCCTCGGATCCCGTGTCGCGACGTTTCATCGTAGCGCTGTCTTTATCACCCTATTTGCATTTTCTACCAGTCGTTGGATTGTGACATATGGGGCGCGGTATTCCGCACAGCGATACCGTGTATGACCAGATTCCTCAACACTTTTAAGGTGTCTCGTGAACACGGTTCTGGCTGCTACGGGTTTCCCCGTATGCATTCAATTAGGAGTAGCCGTGAGACTCGCTGTAGGCGAGGCAAAAGCGAATAGTATTCTACACCAGAAAAACGAGGTTAGTATAGTACACCGTATTCCCTCTCCCTCCATTCTACACGGGACCCCTAAAGCAACTAAGAACCAATGACAAAAGGGAGTCTTACGGCTCCCTGCCCTAAATGGCGGGATACATAATCCCACCGTCTGTTGATAATACAATCGACATCTCCTAACAGTAACATGTTATTCATTAAAATAGTACATTGTTTTCTACTCATGGTTGCGAGGTCGAACCCGGCAAGCGGCAAATGATAACATCTCTACATAATGTTGCCCACCACTTCACTCCGTCCGATGCCCTTTTGTTTTAAGAAATGTCTGGTAAGCTATAATTGTTCTTGGAATGATAACATATTGGTTAATTTTTCCTCGGAGGGTGATTCGGGCTATGATCATAAGTTCAACCTTTTGATTGAGTGAAGGATATTTAATGAATGACGCACAGTTTATAACATAACGGATTTTCTCCATCCGAATAATGAAATATTTGATTCAGATATATCCCAGTTTTACTATAAAACTAGCCAACTTGCGTATTATGGATATCGAAACATGTGATTCGGATGTATCCTACTTATCCTGCTTGTATTCAATTAAACTTAAAAAATGAGCTATTCTTTTCACTCCCATGCACCCTTTAAAGCCTCAACGAAGACCTTTTTCAGGTCACTCATATGCGTCCCTCACAAGGGGAAACCTTCGATATGCTACGTTCGTACTGACTGTCTGAATGTGTGCCAGTTTAGTAAGGATGTATCCGACTTCAGTAATTGAACTTTTCGTCTTGAAACTCCCTACCCAATGCTGCCCACCACTCCGCCACTGTCCTTGCCGAGATCAAATGCTGTATGTTAACAAATAAAAGTGCACCCTCGGGAACCCCTTAAGAACTCTAGTAACCATCAGTCTTAAATTTTAACTAGATGGCGGTTGCATGTACATTATCACTTTACCAAACATTTCTCAAAACAAACGGGCATCGTACGGAGTGAAGTGGTGGGGAGCATATTATGTAGAGACGTTATCATCTGAGGATTGGACATTGGAGAAGGCTCAAAAGAATGCGTAGGATACATCCGAATCAAACTGTGTACAGATTATCAGTTGTGTAGTGACCAAGGACATTATAATTATTTTGAAAGATCTCACAGGATTTTGAAGACAATTGACAACTCATGAGAACTAGATTGAAAAGCGAAGACAAATTAAAAACAGAGCGGGACACCCAGCCTACATAAGCATGCACACAACCATTGTCGAGACAAATGAGAAGTACGCCGTAAAAACTGATAACAGTTATCTGGTCCCAATATTGTGAATTCGTAACGGTTACCTCAAAAGTTTCCATTAACCAAAGAGTTGGCAAGGCTATGTTGGACTGTCCACAATTAACCAAAAAGTTTCCGTGGAAATTTCAACTGATCGGACATTCTAACACAAAAATTTGGAAATGTCGAGATGTATCCCTAAAAAAGCCTACACTATGAAAACATTCACAAATCCGACATCCTGACGGAACTCTAAAAACGTAAGACTCGTTACGAAAGTGTCCCGAACTTGAAATCTTCAAAAGAAGTCTCTTCGCAAAGCGTTCACTAGCGGCTCCCATGTTGAACCGTCCACAATGCAAGCCGAGATAAGAGGTTGAGGCAGACCTTCGAAACCCGTAATGGAAACCGAGAAACCTTGAACGTCTCCCCCAGCCATGACAACAACACGTCTCAAGGACACAAGAACATCTGCAGCTTGCAAATAAGGTGCTGTAAAATCTCCCAGCATCCAGTTTCCCCCTTGACGCTCTTGTGTTTGGTTGTCGTAACAGTATCCTTATTCTCTGGGTCGGATGCATCCGAACCACAATCGACAATGAGCCAGGGTCGGCACTCGTGACTTTCGTTAATACTTTACAGTGTGCAAATTTCAACTAATCTGACATTCGACCACAAAACTTGGGAAGTGTCGAAACTCGTCTCTCAAACGGGTGAAAATTAAAAATAATCATAAATGACTATACTACGAAAATGTTCACAAATCCGACATAATAACACAAAACTCTAGAAACGTAAGACTGGTCACCAAATGTCTTAAGAAGTTGAAGTCTTCAGAAGAAGCCTCTTCGCATAGCGTTCACTATCGGTTCCCATGTCGAACCGTCCACCATGCAAGCCGGGATTGGAGGTTGAGGCAGACCTTCAAACTCCGTAATGGCAAACGAGAAACCCTCAATGTTTCCTCCTGCTCCGAGCACAGCACGTCTCAAGGCGAAAAGAACTTCTGAAGCTTTCACATAAGCTCTTGTAAAATCTCCTCGCATCCAATTTTCCCCCCGACGCTCATATATTCGCATGTCAAAAATGTTCAGATCAGTAAACCTCACCATGATGACAAACATTGTCCGTCCTCCCGCTACGATCCTGAAGATATTCTCATATTGAAAAGGAAACGCTCCTCCCTTTGTGATGATCGCCAGTCGTTCAGGTACTTTTATTTCAATGAAGCCCAAAATCTCATCCATGTTTTCGAAGTACGTCAGAAGAGGAAAGTCTGCACACTGCAAAAGACAAAAGTCACAATAAAAGCGTCACATCAAGGTCAGGATAAAAAACCCGAGGTCATGCTACGACGACCAAAACGTCCCCACGCTCAATGTTGAAAATTGATGAAGAACTCTTGTTGATTTGAAGCGCGTAACCAGAGAGCACAAATCATTAAGCGATGTATTCCATGGAGTCAAGCGTGGTGTGCACAGGCCAGCATGGCAATACGTTATCCTCACGAAAAGACGACAACCATCACACTCTCGATGAGGTAGCCTCCTGCCCGCTCCCTTTTCCGTAAACGCTTTGTGTTTGAGCGCCAATATCGTTTTCTAGGGCGGGAGTTGCATTTTTTCTTACTTTCAGAGGAATCACAAGACCGGTGGTAAAATTTTTGGAGGACTCGCAGACATTCATCCTCGTTTGTCTCATCCAAGAAAACGCAACGGTTGTGACATGTTGATACTGTTCCTTGTGCCCTGGAGCTTTTTTCCATTTTTTTTCCCAGGCGTCGGCATACAATTCTCTTAGTGTGCTCGCTTTTTCGATTGGAACCCAGTACTCCACTTTGAATTGGTTGTAAGTTGGCGAATCTTCATTCTTGTCAACTTCACTGCGAACCTGACCAACCCAAAAAGATACTCCTTGATGCAATAGCATGTCATTGATGTGTTCCTTTGAATGAGCACTGGGCAATCGACAAGGTTGCTGAAGCTGTCCTGTACTTGCAGTTCTCTTGGCCCCAAGTCCATTCCCACCAACACATGTTGGCCTGATCATCCACCCCAGAGAAGGTCCGATAGACAGTCTACTGGCTTTCAAATTCCTTGTACAATAATATTTTTTATTATTCCGTCAATTTTGCATAAGTTTTCTTTTTTGTAGCGATTGCCATTTTATAGTTTTTCCTTTCTGTCGAGACTGCCGTTTGGATCTGATCTTGCACCAGTCACTGTGACGATTTTATTTGTTGCTGTAAAGGAGTTGACAAAGGAGTACCTGGATTTCTTTATTATTTATAACGAACGATACCAGTGATGGCCACGTTACTTACGTTCTGAGCTATTTTTGTGTCGTCTGATTGTTGGGAATGGATGTAAGAAAATTCTGGCGTCTTTTTTTTTTTTTTTTTTTGAAATCCGGTCCCTCCGCTAGAAGAGGTGATAAGAGCATCCTGTCTTGATTTCATGCTAGTCTGCAGCCCGTGAAAGCGCCGTCTGATTGTTGGGAATGGATGTTATAGTAACAAAATTCCGGCGTCTTTTTTTCTTCTTCTGAAAACTGGTCCCTCCGCTAGAAGAGGTGATAAGAGCACCCCTTCTTGATTTCATGCTTGTGCCGGACCCGCCGGGATGGCGGTCCGACAGGATGGAGAAGAAGGGTGGACGAAGGAGGAGGTAGAGATGGAGCTGGAAGGGACAGCGCAGCTCCGACGCGGACTCCACACGCACGTACTCCAAGATCTGCAAAAGTGAAGAATGACGAAAAACAGACAACTGCTGGGGTATACCCCTAGCGGACTGACTGACTGGACTGGACTGGCCTGGTACCGACACTGGTACCGGGCAGGGGTCAGGCCACAGCCTGGTCCCACAGGCCGAGCTGGGCAAATAACCAAATAGGCCCTGGCTGTAGGCTAGGGCAGATGAAGGCCCGCTGCATGATCCTCAGACCTGTAATGGATCGCAAGAGCCATAAACATGCTATCCGCAAAAGCAGCGGAACTCTGCAATAAAGAAAGCTGAGAAATCTAGGATGCGGAGCAAGCTCCATGCGGAGTCCATGCGATGCATCCTAAGCTACATAATGTCAAAAGAAAGGCAAATGTCTGGTATACATGTCCTAGCTAATAGCAGAAAATGAAATGTAGTATGATACAATCCTAAAGTCCTAGAGGCAGTGGCCTCAGTGCTGAAAGGAAAAGAGCAATATGTCACAAGATAATGTCATGTCGCTCAACCACTAAGAGTGGGATGGTCTCAGAGGGGGTGAATGCAACCTAAGAGTCGAAACTCCTAAGGGCAGTCACACATGAAGGTGGGATAGGTCATCAGGCTCAAGGTGGGGGAGTGGTAGCGAAACAAGACCAATGACCCTAATAGATAGACCACCAGGGCGGGTAATGCTCGACAAAAGGGTGACACCATGCAGAGTCGACCATGAAACAAGGGGGAGCCTGGGATAGGGTGGGGGTATGCCTAACTGAAGGCATGCAAGAGCCGGCACTAGGGTGATGAGGGGAGTGGGTGAGGGAAACATGCACACAACTCACCGACTGGGGGAGGAGGGAGCTAGATCTGGGAGCAGGGAAGCCAAGATAACGCTACGATCCCAATGCCTATACGATACCAAGGGAGAGCCCTACTCAAAGAGACCCAGCTAAGTGAGAACCATCATGCGACAAAGGCAAGGTAGTATACAGGGTAGGGTGGTGACATGAAGTAGTCACGTCCAAAGTAGCTGAAGTCGTCGAAGTGGTCGATGATGTCGATGAAGTAGCGGTCGAGTCGATGTCGAAGCAGAGCCGTAAAACGCTGACATCCTGAAGAAGAGCTGATGATGGAGTACCTGATGGTGTGAGTCAGTGGGGAAAGATAGAGGATAAGAGTGTCAGTCATCGTAACACGAAGGGCGACGATGAGTGCGCTGTGGACGCTCGGAGGCGACCATCTGCGGCTGAGGAACGGCCTTAGAGGGAGCGGGCTCGTCCTCAGAAATCACCTCAGCCGGAGGAGGAGGAAGAGGGTCAGTCGGCTGAGCAGGGGCAGACATCTCAGCACGACGAGCACGATCGTATGCACACACCAACATCCTGGCGTGCTGCAAGTGCTCGAGGGGCTCCCAAGTAGCCTCCTTGTCAGGGTAGCCCTTCCAACGCACAAGGTACTCGATGCATGGAGGGGTATCGTCGGTAACTCGGCATGATACGATGTCGGAAATAACGAACTCCTCGTGACCGTCCACCATGATAGGTGGAGGGCGCTCATAAGGGCGTCCGGCGAAGCGCTCGGACGGTCTGCGATAAGGACGCACCAAGGAGACGTGGTAAACATCGTGTACGCGAGCCTGTCGAAGGTAATCAGGTAGCTTCACACGGAAGCTGACCGGACTAGCGGCAGTATCAGAACCGACAGCCTGAAGGATGCGGCATGGACCGAAGAAACGACGCCTGAACTTGCGAAGCGTATCCGCTTCGAGCTGCAAGTGGCGTGCGTCGACGAGCACATCGTCACCGACTTTGAATGGATGATCCATTCGTGATCGGTTCGCTCTTGCGGCCATGCGAGTCTGGGAGTCGGCTAAACTCTCGTTTGCGCGCTTCATAATCGCCGCCATGTGGGTGATCCAGTCGTCAAGCGCAGGGCAACGAGTGTCTGGGCGCAACCGCGATGGTCGTAGGAAATCCGCGGGTACGCGAGGGTGGTAGCCGAGGTCGCAGAAGAATGGCGACATCCCCGTGGCTGGCGGAACAACGTGGTTGTACGCAGTCTCCGCGTGGGCTAAGTGTAAGTCCCACTGCTGGTCATCCCTAATAAACTTTCAGAGGATATTACCGAGAGTTTTGTTGGTGACCTCAGTCTGACCATCCGTCTGAGGGTGGTAAGATGATGAGAAGCGGAGCTGGGATCCGTACACCTCGTGTAGGCGTCGCCAGAATGTGCTGGTAAAGCGCGGGTCACGGTCGGAGATGATGCTCTGAGGTAAGCCGTGATCTCTCACGACTCGGTCGAAGACGATGTCGATGACCTCACGAGCGCTAATGCGATAGCGGCACGGGACAAAACGTGCACGCTTCTTGAAGCGATCGACGACGACCAAGATAGCATCATGACCGCGCTCAGTGGGTGGGCGGAGGGGACCAATGAAATCCATCGAGATGGACTGCCAACGACCCTCAGGTATGGGTAGGGGCTGAAGTAACCCATACGGAAGGTGGTTCGCACTATTCACCTCCTTGCAGGTAGGACACTCCTGGATGTAGGCTTTGACAAAGTCCTTGAACTTCGGCCAGACGTATAGGCGGCAAACACGAGCCAACGTCTTGTGGAAACCCATATGACCGGCAACTGCCTCGTCATGAAACTCTGCTACAGCCTGGACGCGGAGCTGTCCGATGGAGGGAACGCAGATACGTGGTTCTAGCTGACCAAATCTACCATGCTAGTATTCAAGGCCGTTCTCCTCGAGGGAGTAGGAAGGAACGGTCTTGCCACTCCACAGTGTCGCGTGGATGACGCGGTAATCGGGGCAGTGGCAGTACTGAGTGCGATACGCGTCGATCACCGATTGATCAACAGTGGTGATGGAGATGGCAGCAAGATGGATGGGTTCCTGATTGTGATCAGGACGGCGGGACAAGGCATCGGCGACACGGTTCGTTTCACCCTTGATGGGCTGAGTGGTGAAATTGAACTCGGATAAGTCACGCTACTAGCGTGCCTGTCGAGGGGAAAGAATGGGTTTTGTGAGGAAAGCCTAGACAACTGAGTTGTCCGTGCGCACCGTGAAGGGCGCCCCGTGCAGATAATGACGCCAATGCCGGGTAGCATAAACTAATGCAAGAACCTCATGTTCATCGGCAGTGTAGTTTATCTCGGCAGGCAGTAGCTGACGGGAGTAAAAAGCGATCGGGCAATCCCCAGCACGAACCTCTACAGTCCCATCCTCCGCGACGGTCGGAGAGTAAGTAATGGGAGGACTGTCAGTGGAGGGTAGTGGTGGGAGGGTAGGCGTCAGTCGAGAAGCAGTGTCAGTAGGAGGGGGGGGAAAGGGAGGAACATGGGGACAAGGTGAATTAGGAGGAGAGGGAAACATCTGAGAACGTACTGCTCCTACTGCAAAAGCTGACGCATCAGTGGTGACGATGAAGGGGTGATCGAAATCGGGGAGGCGAAGAACCGGTGGACAAGTCACCGCCTTCTTGAGGGCGCGAAAGGCGTCCTCGCAGAGGGGTGTCCAAAACCACGACGGGTTCTTTCGGAGGAGGGTGGAGGTAAGGACGTAGGAATACCTAGCGTATCCCTGGATAAAATTACTATAGTAGCTGGTGAGGCCTAGGAAGCTGCGAAGCTGCTTAGCAGATGTGGGGACGGGCCACTCTACAATAGCAATGATCTTCGCGTCGTCCATGTGGAGACCCTGGTCAGACACATGGTGTCCTAGGAAGTCCACTTTGCGCTCAGCAAAGTAGCAGTTACTGAGCTAGGCATAGAAGCCATGCTTGCGTAAGCGTTGTAGGACATCGCAGAGGTGTCTGAGATGGTCTTCTAAGGTACGACTGTAGACCAAGATATCGTCTAGGTATACGAGAACGTATTCCTCAAGGATGTCCCTGAAGATATCGTTCATCGCCGTCTGGAAGGTGGCAGGTGCATTGGTGAGGCCGAATGGCATCACCGTGAACTCGTAGTGGACGAAGCGCGACCGAAAGGCTGTCTTCGGCTGGTCCTCTGTGGCAATGCGGATCTGGTGGTAACCGCTACGAAGATCGATCTTCGTGAAGAAGCGGTTGCCTGCCAGACGGTCAAACAGCTCATCCGCACGGGGCATGGGATAGCTATTCTTAACCGTGTAACGGTTAAGGCCGCGGTAGTCGATGCAGAGGCGGAGATTTCGGTCCGCTTTGCGAGCAAAGAGGACAGGTGCACCCCAAGGGGAGTTACTGGGTTTAATGAAACCCAATCGAAGGAGCTCCTCAAGCTGACGCTTGAGTTCCGTCGCCTCTGGAATCGAGAGTCGGTACGGTGCCTGATGGTGAACACGATAGTCAGGCACGAGCTGGATAGAATGCTCAACACCGCGCATCGGGGGAATCCCGCTGTATGAGAAATACGGGGGAAAGACGTCGCGGTACTCTCGAATCAGGTCGCGAACGGCGGGCTCTAAGTCTGCCGTGAACCGTGTGAGTTCCTCAACGTCGGCGTCAGCACGAGACGTATGTGTGGACTCGACAGTCGACGGCGTAGGAACCTGGGATGTCGAGGGGGTATCCGCAGGCTGCGGGGTGGATATAGAGATGGGAGCCGCGAAGATGGAGGAAGGGTCAGAGGGATCGAGCTCAAGTGCGATGAGCTCAACCTCGGGGCAGAGTGGATCGTAGTGAAGAAGATCCATGACGTTCACTGAGTAGAGCGTGACGTCCTCCTGTCGGACGAAGTGAGCAAACTGACGGGGAGAAGTGATAGAGATGTCTGGGTGGGACCCAGAAGGACGAGGGTCCTAGGGAGGTAGGTCTGGAGGGGTGTCGCCCGTGGTTCCAATGAAGGGGACTCGATGGGTTTGACCACACTTCGTTTTGAGAACGAGTGTCTCAGTCGTCAATTCGGCCTCTGTGCTACGAACCGGCGAGACCAGGGAGTGCCAAGGATAAAGTAGTACCCAGTCTCCAGCACGTCGAAGTAGGCGGAGGAATGGTAGCGCTGAGGCGCCTGGGTACTATCCGGTGGCTGGAGGGTGAGGGAGAAGTGGAGGTCGGGGACCGTCTGATCGAAGAAGGGTTGCGTCTTGTTATCTCCGAGGGTAACGAAGATAGGAGAGCGAGACCCAGAGGTAGCTAGGCGAGCTTCCTCAACCACTCGAGGGTGAACGAAATCTCCCTGCAAGTCAGAGTCCAATAAAGCGCGGTACACCCTCGTAGATGTCCCCAAGCGAATAGGGATGATGGGGAGGGTGCGATCAGGGTCAGAGAGCAGAGCGAGAAGACGACGCATGACGTTTACGTGTCTCGTGAGTCGCTCCTGACGAGCCTGAAGAATGCTCAAATCCAGGAGAGATGACACAACGTCATCGCGAGTTGCCAGCTAAGCACTATAACGGGCTGTGCGAATGGCGCGACGCGTCGGAAGTCTCGGGGGAGAAGCGCTAGATGCGACAGTCTGCTGGGAGGCAGACGGTACCTCGACAGACGATGGGGCGGAGCGAACTGCGTCTGTCGTGTCCTGAGGGTCCTCTGGTGGGGTAGCCAAAGGGGCAAATCGCGACTCAGTGGTAGGGAAGCCGGCTACGTGCGAGGCCTCAGGGGCACAGTGCACCGTGGCCAGGTGGATGGGGTTGGCTGGGCGGGGCCGGGGGGGGACTGAGATTGACGCTGACGAGAGATGTCAGCATAGTGCCGATCGAGGGCCATATGGTATGGACACCGTAAGGAGGTGTGTCCATCTAGGCGGCAACGAAGGCATCCGCGTCGGGCCTCGAGGGCGGCACGCTCCTCCGGGGATAGAGCTCCGCGAGGAGGGACATAACCCTGCAGGAGGTCCATCTGAGGAACCGTGGGTGTGCGGGCGCCAGCCTGTGCAACCCGACTGCGCGTACGACCCATGGCAGACATGGCCATCTGCAGGCGCTCGGCCATCGGAACAGTGTCGTCATCCAAGTGGTATTGGATAACGTCCCGAAGCTCGATGTCCTCGAGGGCATCCCCAATGGTAGGATCGAGCTCGGCTGAGGCGTCCTCTCCATACTCGGGAGAACTGTAGTGCCGAGAGAATGACGCTCCAGGTCGAGCCGGGCGACGAAAACGACCAGCAAACGAGGAGCGGCCTCTGGTGGTACCGCGAGACTGGGAGGTGGCGGCTGGCCGCGAAGAGGATGGGGCGGCAGAGAAGCGACTGCACATCCTCTGGTACTGACGCGCAGCCTCGTATGCCTGCTCCGCGGAAGAGAATGATCGCCTCCATAGCTCTAGGCGGTAGTCAGTCGGCAGGCTGACAAGGAACCGGTCAGTGAGTGTGGCCCCAGGTAGGAACGTCTCATTACAAACAAGGCGAGCGTCCTGAAACACCTGGATGTGACGCTCCAGGTCGGCCGGTACAGAGGACCCGGACCATCTGGTCTGGGTGACGCAGTCTAAGGCGTCAGTGGCGTCATGACGAGCGCCGAAACGGTCCTGAAGGAAAGCCGCGAAGTCGGCCAGGGTGGGGACCTCACCCACGCGGAGGCGCTGGGTATAATGATCCTCCCACGCAGTGGAAGGGCTACCTCGCAATTTGGTTGCGAGCACATCGCACCACAACTCCTGACGGGTGGTCGTCATA